CCCCAACCACCCACAAAAACACTCGAATTTTAGGAAAAATAAAACAACACAAAGCAAAGCAAAACAAAACCAAACATAAACACAAAAACACGTCTTTAAAGTTAATTTGCATCAACGCAAAACTTTGTTTTTTGCAGATAATTTTTTACACAAAGCAGGAGAGGCCAGAGAATATTGGGAAGACAATATTCACACCTTTACAAAAGACATGTGCAGATGTATTGCTCATTCATCGTATTGGAATATTTTTATGTTGCCTGCTCTCTCTCTCTCTCTCTCTCTCTCTCTCTCTCTCTCTCTCTCTCTCTCTCTCTCTCTCTCTCTCTCTCTCTCTCTCTCTCATCAAGCTAAAGACTAAAAATGGCCACCCCCCCACTTTTTCATGAGGTTGCTGATCCTGTAACTGGCAATATTCTGGTCCGTACATAAAAGATTTTGATGTACCTATTCGTGCATGGCGCCCAACTAATTCGGGCAGCATACCACACCATAAAAACGTGATTTTGAGTAAGTAAAAATAGTCCATGGCGGTGACAGGTAAAAGGAAGTGTTTGAAGATTATCAAGACAGAATGACTTTACAAAATATGCAAAAACGTACTTTTGGGCTTACCTCTTATTTGGAGGCTGATTTTTTTTATGGCTCTTATTTAATTTACTGATGCCGACTCCATATTGGATGTCAACAAAGGGAAATCACTCTGACGAGTAAAAAGGCTCTGCGGCGTAAAATTCAATTGTCGTTCCGTCTTCGGGTATCAAAATATTTTGATTAAAACAGTTATTTGCCAAACTGGGAGCACCCAAACACCATGCCCAACTAGTTGGGTGTAATGCATAAATGGGGGTTAAAAGAATAAGTTACTGAGTAAAAAAATCGTACAGGATTGATAATTAAACTTTTGTTTTATGCCTTTTAGCCTCAACTGTCGTTTAGTAGCACGCCACCTTAAGTGTGTTGTTTATTGTGCAGCCCATTTGGTGGTGACGTCACACATGCACGTCCTGTGAAGAACTTGTGTTCTTCTACCACCGACTCCAGGATGTGCAGAGCGGATAGTCGGCTTGAGGACACACTTGTATTAGCCCACGCTCTTACGTAAATAAAGGGACAATGGATGAAGCCGTCCTGGTTTTCTTGGGGAGGGGGTAGTAAAGGGGGGTGGGTGGGGTGGGAGGTGGATGGGATGTGGAGGGAGGATGGAAGAGGTGATACTGGAGAGGGAGTGGGTGGGGAGGAAGGAAGGGTTGGAGGAGAGGAAGGTGAAGGAGGAGATGGAGGGGAGGGTTAAGGGGAGGGGGAGGGCGAAGAGAAAGGGGTAGGTGGAAGAGGGGGAGGAAGTGAGAGGGGCAGGAGGGGGTGGGAGTAGGGTGGAAGAGAGAGGGGTAGATGAAGAGAGGGGGTAGGTGGGGGAAGTGGGAGGTAGAGGAGGAGGGGAGCGAGAGGGCTAAGTGGAGGGAGGGGGTGGAGGGAAAGGGGTGGATGGTACGATGCTAGGGAGGGAAGGGATTTGAAAAGGAAAAATAATTGATGGAGGTACGATGTCGGGTAGAAAGGGAGGGGGGTCCTTGCACATCGTGTTTTGTTGAAGATATTAAGATTAACCGATTCTTTTCTACTGACTCCTTCAGAAAAAAAATAGAAGCATTCCTGGGACAGAAACTCAACTAGCACACTCACAGGATTAAAAATAGCGTAAACACGAATATTATGTCAAGAAGTAAGTTTCATGATGACAACTTAGACTCCAAAAATATAAAAGATTCTTTGTGTACCTCATCTGTACTTGATCTCGACTTTGTTCCACCCCCTCCCCTTCTCTCTCTCGCTCTCTCTCTCTCGCTCT